AATTCTCCACGACAATGCCCGATGGCACGTTGCACAACCAATGCTTCAAAAGTTGAACAAATTGGGCTATGAAGTTTTGCCTCATCTGCCATATACACCTGACCTCTTACAAACCAACTACCAACTTCTTCAAGCATCTCGACAACTTTTTGCAGAGAAAATGCTTCTACAACCAGCAGGATGCAGAAAATGCTTTCCAAGAGTTTGTCAAATCCTGAAGCATGGATTTTTACGTTACAGGAATAAGCAAACCTATTTCTTGTTGGCAAAAATGTGTTGATTATAATGGTTTCTATTATTTATTTTATTTTACTTTTTTAGCTGAGCCATCCTCCCACCTGTTGGCAGCTCAGCAGCAGCTCAGCTCGGGCCCATATGGTAATCAAACCAGGGACCCTGTTGCTCAGAGCTCGCACTCTTGAGCGAGCTCTTAACCAACTGAGCCACTTGGCCGGCCCATAATGGTTCCTATTTTGATTAATAAAGATATGTTTGAGCCTAGTTATAATGATTTCAAATTCACGGTCTGAAACCGCAATTACGTTTGCACCAACTAATAGAAGGAACTGACCTGCTCTATGTCAGGCACTGTATTAGGTACTTTATGTACTTATCTCATTCAGTCTCTGGAACAGTCCTATGAGATGGTATAGTACTTAGAAGATAGATTTGACTGCAGAAACACAGCCTCCAAAATAACTGTCATCTAGGGCTGGCGTGGTGTCGAGATAGATAGCATCAGAGGCCCTGACTCCTTCTGCCATGTTCCTCTGACACCCTCAGCAGATGGTTCCTCCTCGTTACGTGAGGGGATTTCTTCAGAGCATGATCTGCAAGGTGCCTATCATATCTGCTTGCATACTTTTCGCCAGAAGCCAGTTCTGTAGTCACATCGACTGTGAGGGAAGCTAGTAAATGTAACCTTTGGTTTGCAGACCAATTATCCAGCTAAACTCAAGCATCCTGTTATAGAGGAAGAGAGAATGGATATTAGAGGTTAGTCCTTTCCAGAAATGGATGTCTTAATTATCCATTGCTGCTTAACAAACCACCCTGAAGCTTTGCCACTTAAAACAAACCCTACCATTTGGGATAGAGATAACCACCATTTGTTATCTCTACTGTTCTGTGAGGTTTTTTTTTTTCCTTTTACATAAGACAGAATTTTTTCGAGCAGTTTTAGGTTCACAGCAAAATTGAGCAGAAAATACAGAGTTTCCATATACTTCCTGTCCCTCCCCCTAACCCCATGCCGTCTCTCTCACTGTCCACATCTCACAACAGAGTGGGACGTTTGTTACAGTCGATACACCTATACTGACACATCATTATTACTCAAAGTCCATAGTTTACAGTAGGGTTTACTCATAGTGTGGTTCATTCTATAAGTTTTGAGAAATTTATAATGACATATATCCATCATTGTACAGTATCATACAGAGTAGTTTCACTGCCCTAAAAATCCTTTGTGCTCTGCCTATCCATCCCCCCAAACCACTGACCTTTTTACCTTCTGCATAGTTTTGCCTTTTCTAGAATGTCATATAGTTGGAGTCATACAGTATGTAACCTTTTCCGATTGACTTCTTTCACTTAATATGCATTTAAGATTTCTCCATGTTTTTTCATGGCTTGATAGCTCTTTTTTTTTTTTAGTGATGAATAATATTCCATTGTCTGATGTACCACAGTTCATTTACCCATTTGCCTACTGAAGAATGCCTTGCTTGCCTCTAAGTTTGGGTAATTATGAATAAAGATGCTATAAACATCGGTGTGCAGGATAAGTTTTTCAGTGCCATTGGGTAAATACCAAGGAGCAATGGCTGGATCATATGGTAAGAGTATGTTTATTTTTGTAAACTGCCCAGTGTCTTCCAAAGTGGCTGTACCATTTTGCGTTCTCACCAGCAATGAAAGAGTTCCTGTTGCTCCACTTCCTCCTCAGCATTTGGTGGTGTCAGTGTTTTGGATTTTGGCCATTCTTATAGGTGTGTAGTGGCACCTCGTTGTTTTAATTTGCATTTCCCTGATGACGTGCTTATTTGCCATATATGTATCATCTTTGGTGAGGTGTCAGTTCAGGTCTTTTGCCCATGTTTTAATTGGTTTGTTCATTTTCTTCTTCTTTTTTTTTTTTTTT